TTAGAGAAAACAATATTCCGAATAGAGAACGGAATACTTTCTTTCGTTCTGTTGTCAAATGTTCATGATTCGCTCAGCTGGGGTATAAGTTAGGTGAAAACACGTGCAGTGCTTCATAATATCGATCAGAAAAGCGGCCGCAATACTTCGTATTACTTTCTATGATTCTTTCTTTGCACATACAATCAGTTTGTAGTCCACTAAAATGTCTCGAAAACACACTGGTCGATTCGAAGGTTTTGATCGTCATCATTCTCATGCTCATATTACCATTATGAGCTGACGAAATGTCATCTCATAATATGCCATTCTAAACAGTGTTTTCAAGGCTCGAAGCTCATGTAAATATAGTTAGGTAATGGTCACTCTTTGTTTATATAGACAATAATTTTTATCAAGGCCCAGAACTTATGGAACACCCTTTATCCATTTGATCAGAAACGTTTCATTTTAATATTGCATCAATGTTTGCTTCAGTTGCCAATCATTGAACATAAGTCAAGACTACGATCATTTTTGAATTTACAACGAAGTATTTTCTGTTGCGCCTATCACTGATACTTGCCGATGCACTTAGTGATGTCTGAAATTGTAGCACTGGTGCAACAGAGCAATCGTGTACGGTAGCATTAAATCCGGCTACTCACCTAAGCATCTTAACCACAGTGACAAGCAAATACTCTGACGTAGCACCGCTGATGCTACCGAGGCATCATCCCCTTCCAACAAGTGTGGTACTGCTTCAAGCATGTGTCATAATAGTATATAATTATACATGCATACTAATTCATCCTAACTATGTTCGAACTGATCCATCGATGTACGAAACACTACTCAAGTGAAGAGGGACAATACCAAAATCATAGATACTCATGTGTATAATAAAGCTTGTCGCACTGACCCGTTGGGGTACCAAGGACTTAGGGTGACTCTCGAAGCCGTTCTCAGTGAAACTATTGGCAGCGACACATTCAAGCAACTCACCTTAGTGAAAACCGCAGACTAATGCACTATCTTGTTTACTTCAGTAAATGGAGGCCCTTAGATACAGTAATTTTTGAAGCAACTGCGTACTTATGTGTCTAGAGCATTGTGCAATAGATCTATCAATTCTTTGAATACTAATGACATTGCCATAATTCTGCATGGCAAAACTGCTGGCAATGGCGCATTGATGCGATCTTATTTAGTAGCTGCCGTTCACTCCTGTACTTCACCTGTATGGCAATATCTCACCAAGACACAGTATACTTGATGCATCGGCAAAATAGTGTATTTAAAGGTTGATGATGTTGACACATGGGTGCAACGAACACTAGTGATATCATTCCAGTCGTCTATGGTAAAAGTTTTCCCGCAGATACAATGACACTATAGGTATCTATGAACTCACATATCTTAATGCTCTGAAGTGGTGCACCAGTTAATTGGCACAATGAAGAAGCAAGTCCTTGTGAATCTATTGCATCCTTGCACAGTGATTCTAAAGAGAGGAAGCATCAGTGCAACCTGACACCTGTGAAACTTGCCGATTGGCGCATGAAGTACTATTGCCATAGGCCTATCCATACGCTGGAAAACTGCTAGAAGCTGTCGATTTATGCATCTAACCTTCTTAGTTGTGGGTCATTAGTGTAGAGCAATGCTAGACGCACCGTCACGCTCAAGCCTGTGAATGCTTGTAGACATGACCATTCGATGAGTTACAACATGTGTAGTTTTTCATACGTAGCCTTCACTATGGCCTTATCGCTTGCGTTCTCAGCTCGCAATCGTAGATTGTACGGTGGAAATCATCTTTAATGATTCCTGTATGCTAGTGACACTCTTTGACAAAAAAGGATTTTGATATCTGAGTAGAGTAGTTTTGCGATATTGCATTGCATTGATCAATACCTGTCGTATACTTTACACATATTTTTTAGTCACAGCATAGTAGATTTTAATGGCAGACGGACTGCATAAGAAAAAGTCAAACATTTTCGAGGAAAAATGGGAAACTTTCTCCTTTTTATATCTTTCTAGTAAGATGCGTATTAATTGTCATTAAAGAAATCCATGAATGCTACTCCTCATCGACAACGAAAAAAATGCATTTTGTTTTTTACCAATTCGTCGAATCAAAAATTAAACGAAATATGATTGCTTGGTGACTTACACAAACAAAAATCCCATCACCGATCAAAGAATAAATAAAATTCTTGCTAAACTGTTTTTTCTCCAAACTTTGATGTTAACAAAAAAAACTCATAAGAGTTCTTTTTACGTGTTGGAGAGAAACATAAAAGCAAACATTGTTCGGAATGAAAAGTAACAGCTTCGTATGTACAGTGCAAGCCACATAATAGTCATAAGAAACACTTAATAGACGAGCAAAACTTTGATTTCTTAAGGTAAAGTCTATTTGCACACACATAAAAAAAATATCAGTTGACACGAGCCAAAAAGACTAGTGAGCGCAATTGTAATACGTGTTTATTCTACTTTTGTATTCCACTGATGGAAAGTTAGAAAATGGCTGGCAACAGATAATATTGAAATGGATGTGTAACAGCATCACTCAGGGTTAGTTACAGTTATATTATGCAACTGTGAGATCGAGAATGGGCTCTTTTTCTTCAAAAGTATTTCTCTCATTTCAAATCCAACATTCGAGCTTATTCTATAGGGAACAAAATAAGTTTTTGTCATGATTCTCGAGTGAAATCAGTGAATGCGTTTTGAGTCATACATAAGATCCTCACGTATTCCACGTTGAAAATATAATCCTAATTAGAAGGCATGCTCATAATAGACAGAAACATTAGAAATATTTACAATTCTTGTAGAAATTTCTCCATTTCGGTTAAAATCAAGTACAGCAAGCTAAATAAAAGAGAGATCTTTTCGATTCATTGCTTGTGAGTACTCTTTCTTTCCCCACACGTTATTCGCCTCATGATAGAAACGAAACTACACTAGCAAGAAACATACAAAACGACGTGTAAAGCTTATTATTGATATTTTCATGCTCTAGATATCTTTATTTAAATATATGGCTCACAGTTACAAGCGCGTAGAACGTTTTCTTGATGCAGCTCGAGAACCAACGAAAGAATTGATCCCTATTGAAGGCTATGAAAAAACACATTTGATGACACTAGAACAATCCTTGCAACCCATGCTTGGAAAGCTTCATAACCTCGAGACAATGATCAAGATAGCTATGCGAAATTCACGCAAGCCAGCAAATGGACTTACTTCAGATGAGTCGGCCGCAATTCATCTACATACAATGCAGTGGCCTGAAACATATGCCAGTCTTTACGTCACTCTGAATGAAGCACTTCGCTGTGAAAATCGAGAATGTCTCATACCATGGTTTCCATACCTAAAACTATTTTTTACTGCATTGTACAAACTACCATCATTTAAAGGCACAATTTGGCGTGGTGTTCGTGGTAATTTCAGTGGGATGTTTGATGAAGATATAATATGGTGGGGAATGAGCTCTTGTACTGAAAAATCCTCAATGATTGAAAACTTTCTGGGTGTCGATGGTGAGCGAACTTTGCTCAAGATTGATTGTGTCAATGGCAAAGCTATTCAAGCACATTCTTATTTTGAGAAAGAGGAAGAAATTTTACTCATGCCTGGCACCTATCTTCAGATAGTTGGTAAAATCAGACCGTCCAAAAACTTAAATGTCGTTCATTTACAAGAGGTATCTGGCCCGTATCAAACAATTGCAGCACCATTTGATACATCGTTAGCTTCAAGTAATTTACATTCTCTGGAACCGCTGGAAATATCGAAGAAGCCAATGAAAGCGTTAACTGCTCCTATCACATGTGCAAATAAATATAGTGAGATTATTTTTTTCCTTTTTTCTTTAAACTTGAGTCGATGGTGTTTTTGATTTAAAACTGAGTTTTGGAAAAAATGACGCCCAGTTTTTCGGAATGATCGGAGAAGAGGGGGACTTAAAAAAGAAACATCTCTTTTGGTGCAACCTGCCGCAGATGGATACATAATACAAAGTATACAAAAAAAACATTCATTCCGTCGTAAGTCAATGACATTCGTATTTTTCTAATATCCTGCTTCCAATACTGCTTTACTGGGCAGAGATTCATGCGCTTCATATCATCTATTTTCGCGAAGATCCACTTACTAGGTCACTAGCATTATTCCTTCAGATACATATGTTTAAACCCTTTCTTTAGGAAGGTGGGACTATAAGGACTTTTGGGACTTAAGAATTATCTATATATGCATATACAAATGTATGTAACTCCTTTTTTCTGAGGGGGTGGAACTAGGAGGACTTGAGAAGCTTTAAAATTATGAATAAATATATGTATATATAATTCATAAGTTCTTCAAGTCCCACTCTCCTTGAAAAAGGGGTATATATATATGTATGAATAATTTATAAGTCGCTCTAGTCTCGTATTTCTATTTAAAATTGAATATCTTTTTTTTGCTTAGTATTCAGATTTAAATCGAATAGGTCATCGTATGTTAGTTTTTTCTTGAACAAGAGAATACAGACGTAATGTTTCGACTTCTACAAAAACACTTCTGAGAGCAGTGGTAATCTGACAGCGAGCAGTCTTTTGCTCTTTTCAGCATCATTTGTTTAGACTATGCCCAGCTTGCACGTAAATATTAGGTTTTTCTGCGAAATCAGTACAAAATGCATTCGACATGTATATTGATTGATTCTACAGTGTAATTCACTTTATGAACTGCCATTCCTTTTTAGTGCGAAAATCAGAAACCTCTGCGCCATCACCACCTAAATTTCGAAACCCGACATTAGAACAAGAGATTGATAAACACAAAAACCACGAAAAACTATCGTTATGCAATATGAAATTGGTCCATTCCGATATGGAAATCGTGGCTTACTATGCAATTGGAAAAAACAAGGTAGTATTACTGATAGAAAGGCATTTACCCTCATATATTATTCTTCTTCATGCGTCCTCTGAAATTCTTAACTAGTGTCCTTTGTTCCCTCTTTTCTACAGATTCTTAAGTAAAATTATGAATAGCACAATATTAAATTATAGGAACAAGAGAATAAAACCTTCGTTGCATTGTGAATCATAGTATAACAAGCAAAAACATTTAATTTCGTTGGAATCCATTCAATAGGCCGGCACAGTATTTCAATTAATTGTCAACATTCCTTCGAGCGGAAGGAAACTTCTCTACTGATTCATTGTGCAGGATTTAGATGGGCAAGAAATAAAGCGTGTAGAAATCTTGATGCTAATTGATCATGCTAGTATTCAATTTCGTGTCAAACAATATTTTGTTGATGATGAGTTCTAGCTTGATACTGGAAATAAAATCTTTTCATGATGCATATTATAAATCGATGGTAGAGAAGTTAAGAGAATATGAAAAATCTATCTCCGATTGCACGTCATCTTGCTAAATCCATCTGAGTTGGAATCAATTAGACTAAAGTCAAACCCAAGTCTAGAAGCAAACTCTAATATCAATGACTCGATCTCAAACCCAAATCTCCACAGGGTTTGGAGCGTCCTAGTCATCTTTCACATTTATATAATACTTTATATAATGTTACTTTATATCCATATACACTTATATGCATATCTTAATCTCGATAGACTAGGACCAAGTGAATCGCGTCCTCATAATCGCTAATTTTTAGTATTAGCATACGTTTACCATTGATTCTGAAGAGCAAAGGCTTACATAAGTCAATAAATGTTAGCTGAAAATAGGCAGCCGCATTGGGATGATTGACTACACACGAATCCATTGAATTTGGTACCAATAAGGGAAATCCATTTGAAAGACAAAGTCCACAGTTTCGTACAGCTTGAAGTTCTTTATGATTAGCATATAAAAACCCTTTTTATGCTTACAAGAGAACATTCCTTAGTGATCCGCTCTGTTTTGACTCATTCACATCTCATTCGAAACATTATATTGAGATAAGAAAAAGCCTAAGAGAATTCGTTCCCATAGCCCACTGATGAAGAGTTATAGTCGTTTTACTGAAATTTTTACTGTGAGCCAGACATTTCTGGAAAAACCAAAACGAAGAATTTCGACCTGAAATTTTGCCTATAGATAGACTAAAGTAGTCATTAGATAGTGCTGAAAGTTTCAACGACAATCAACATGTCTTTCTCAAGTTATTCGATGTTATAAAAACAGCTATTTACCATAGGAAGACGCAATAATCCACTTTAGTTGGATATTGAATATCTCGAGAAAGACACATTCGTAGTCGTTGAAACTTTCAGGTCTATCTATAGGTAAAATTTCAGGTAGAAATTCTTCATTTTGTTTCTTCTGAAATGTCTGACTCACAGTAAAAACTTCAGTAAAACGGTCACAAATCTTCACTAGTAGGTCATGCGCATGAATTCTTTTAAACTTTTTCTTATCTCAATACGCTCTGTCGAATGAAATATGAATGAATCAAAACGGAGTGGATTACTTGGAAATGTTCCCTTGTTAGGAAATAAGAGAAAAAGATACCAAGCTTTACTGAAATTTGTTTTATGGCATCCTTTACGTCGAGCTACATATTAGCAACTAATCCTATTAATAAAAATCCATTTATTATTGTACGCACGGTAATCATAACAGATATTGTTAATAGTGAATTCTCAATGTGCTGCGATCTTTTACATTATGTCTTCTAATTATTTTGTACATGATATAAATTTGTCGTGAAATCGGGATCGTTAAAAAATTTTTAATCGATGCAATACGTCCATGCACATAAAAATACTATCGAAAGTTTGATCCTTAAATCGTATTGATTTTTCACATGTTTCGTCTCGTGACTTTTTTTCGAAGGTGGAAATAATGGATTATAGTCGATTGCAATCCCTTGATCTGACATTATAAGATTAAAATTTCAATCGGCCCATAAGACTTAGTAATTCTAACTTGTTTTTTCTTGAAATTTTATAAAACCCAAGCAGCTGATGACATTTACACAATAGGAAATTCTCTTTTCGCATGATTTCGGGATTATAATTAAATGTATACTGTTTATTGTGGAAAAAACTTTGATTCTGAGAACAAATAAATATATGGGTCATCGAAAATAAGATGGTTTTTATGGAATCTTTTCAATGAGGTCTACTCGATATTGATTTGTTGTAGTGTTCAACATCCATTGATTATGAAAGAAAAACATGAAAAAAAAATGAACTAGCGAAACAATGAGTCCATATATCTATCTCGATTACATGTGGAGCTCAATTAACGTGTATATTCTCAATGATCACTTAGAACGTTAAAAGTAAAGTAAACGTTGAATTCATCCGTGGGATAAAAATAACCAGGAAAATTGAATCTTTATGATGTCGGAACACTGATACAAATGCTCCACAATATCATTCAACATACGCAGAATCATTAAACTTCTTCGTCATCTAAGTGTGATCAACCCTCTCTCTCCCTAATTTTTATATACGCCATTGTTTTATTAACTAATTGGGATTGCTTCTTCGTTAGAATGAATTGCCTGTTCACAATTTATTCCTTTCCTCTTATTTTCTTCATCGTATGAGATCAGCCTCTGTTTTTTTTAAACAGGTACTCACTCTGCTCAATCTCTGGGAAAATCGAATCGAAGACAAAGGAACACAACATCTGGCTAATGCACTACGAAACAACACGGTGATACTCATTTTCTCCTTCATCTCTCTCATATACCCATCTGTACTTTTCCACATAGACAATCACTATACTAGATCTCAGTGAAAACCAAATAGGAGCTCTCGGGGCACAATATCTGTCGGATGCATTACGGCATAATACAGTAACCCACATTCTCTTCTCATCTCTCTCAAATACCTATCTACACCTTTTCACAGGCACTCACCACATTACATCTCTCATCTAATCAAATCGGAGATCAAGGGGCACAACATATGGCTGACGCATTGCGAAATAACACAGTGACTCTCATTCTCTCATCATTTTTCACATATACAAATCTGCACTTTTTCTTACAGACACTCACCCTACTCAATCTCTACAACAATCAGATCGGAGCTCTCGGAGCACAACATCTGGCTGATGCATTACAAAATAACATGGTGACCCTCATTTTCTCTTCATCTATCTCATATATCCATCTATACTTTGCCATACAGACTCTCAACACACTAGAGCTCGAAAACAATCAAATCGGAGACAAAGGAGCACAACATCTGGCTCATGCATTACAAAATAAGACGGTAACTCTCATTCTCACTTCATTTCTCTCATACATAAATCTACACTTTCTTATGCAGACACTCACCACACTCAATCTTAACAGCAATCAAATCAGAGCCAAAGGAGCAAAATGTCTGGCTGGTGCATTACAAAATAATACAGTGTCCTTCATTTTTTCTTCATCTCTCTGCTATACTTATCTCTAATTTTTCACACAGACACTCACCACAATTAATCTCGAAAACAATCAAATAAAAGACAAAGGAGTACAATGTCTGGCTGATTCATTACGAAATAACACGGTGCTCCTTATTTTCTCTTCGTCTCTCTCTCATATACTAATCTACAGGTTTTTACTCAGACACTCACCACACTCAATCTCAGCAGCAATCAAATCAGAGGCAAAGGAGCACAACATCTGGCTGATGCACTACGACATAATACGGTGAGCTTCATTTTCTCCTTGTCTCTCCCATACACTCATCTGCACTTGTCAATACAGACACTCACTGCACTCAGTCTCTACAATAATCTTATTGAGGACAAACTGGAAGGTCGCGTAAAGGAATTGATTGAACGAAATAAACTACAGACCATATTGTAAACATCGATATTAAAGACGCTTTGGTGGAGAACTGAAATGATCTATTGAATATATGACTAGGTTTTCTGTGCTTTTGTTTGCAAAAAACA